GATGGTGGCCCCGCCTCCGCTCCTGGGAGACCAGCTTGGGCCCCTCCCTACCCCCCGCCCCAGCAGCACCGAGATTACCCACCGGGTTTATAAACATTCGTGCCCCAAAGGCTCACTTGGTTCTTTTAATATTTTATTGCCTTTATTTAAAATGCTTAATTTTTAAGGCCAATTCACCCATTTTATTTAATTTTTGAAATAGAAATGACATTGTGAAAGTTATTTGGTTGTTTAGGGGAAAAAATGTTTTTTTTATAATGATGTATCAAGGTGGGTTCATCATGTGTAACAATTCCCGCTCTGGGGGGTATGTCCATAGTGGAGAGGCGGTGCCTGAGGATGGGTCTGTGGAAAACCTCTGTGCCTTCTGCCCAGTACTGCCGTGAACCTGAAACTGCTCTAAAAAGCCAAGTCTATTTTATTCTTTAAAAAGTTTTTAATCCTTGCCCAAGGATATGTCTGTATTGAATTTTAGAGAGAGGAAGGGAGAGAGAGAAACATCAATGTAGAAAGAAACATCGATCACTTGCCTCCTGTATGCGCCCTGACTAGGGATCAAACCCAAAACTTAGGTATGTGTCCTGACCGGGATTCAAACGCACGGGACACGCCACCAACTGAGCCCGGTGGCCAGGGCACCAGGTCTCTTTTCTTCTTACATATAGAACTGGGCTGTCCACAGTGGGTACCAGCCCCGTGTGGCTATTGGGCATCTATATAATGTGGTGGGTCCAAAATTATGATTACCTACTGGATTCGGAAGGCTTAGTATAAAAAAAGAGAAAAAGGGTGAAATGTCTCAATAATTTTTACATTATTAGAAGCAGAAATAACCTTTTGGGTGTATTAGGCTAAATTACCCTTCACACTCATTTCACCTCTCATGAAACTGCTTACATCCTAATACAGTGATGGCGAACCTATGACACGTGTGTCAGAGGTGACAAGCAAACTCATTTTTTTGGTTGATTTTTCTTTGTTAAGTGGCATTTAAATATATAAAATAAATATCAAAAATATAAGTCTTTGTTTTACTATGGTTGCAAAGATCAAAAAAATTCTATATGTGACACGGCACCAGAGTTAAGTTAGGGTTTTTCAAAATGCTGACAGGTCAAGCTCAAAAGGTTCGCCATCACTGTCCTCATGCGTTTCCACTGGGCAGCCCTGGGGCAGAAAGATCCCCCGGAAGTAAGAATCGCCACAATGTGGTCCCAGAAAGAAAATGCCTACACTGAGAAGCTATTATTATCAAGCAAATGATATTTTTTAAAAACATGTTCATTGATATCAGAGAGGAAGGTAGAGGTAGAGAGAGAGAGAGATACTTTGATGATAAGAGAGAATCATTGATGGGCTGCCTCCTGCACGCCCCCCACTGGAGACCGAGCCTGCAACTCGGGCATGTGCCCTTGACTGGAATCGAAACCGGGGACCCTTCAGTCCGCAGGCCAACGCTCTGTCCACTGAGCCACACCAGCCAGGGCCAAGCAAATAATATTCATAACAGTGACAATGGTCTTACTACCCTCAAGCCCGCTGCTGCCCTCACTATGGTTACTAACAACTATGCACTATTCTGTTGTAAAAATAGTGGGAGTTTTCATAGTGGCTTGTGTTTAATTTTTCTTTAAAAAAAAATTATTGATTTCAGAGAGAAGAAGGGAGTCGGAGAGAGGGATAGAAACATCAATGATGAGAGAGAATCATCGACTGGCTTCCTCCTGCACGCCCCCTACTGGGGATCGAGCCTGCAACCCGGGCATGTGCCCTTGACTGGGAATTGAACCGTGACTTCCTGGTTCATAGTCGACCCAACACTGAGCTGTGTTTAATTTTCCTTTGTTTTAAGCATCCTTGAAGAGAAAACCCTTATGCCAGCATCTTTATACACTCAAAGCCGTATTAACCAGGTGGCAAAGCAGCTAGAAGTGTAAGCCCTGAAACCGGACGGCCTGGGTTCGAGTCCCGCTCCGCCACTTACACCCTGGCCACTCATAAACCTCCCCTCTGTTCTGCGCAGGCCCAGATGAAGGAGCTGTGGCGGGAGGTGGAGGAGACACGCACCTCCCGGGAGGAGATCTTTGCCCAGAACCGGGAGAGTGACAAGCGCCTGAAAGGGCTGGAGGCGGAGGTGCTGCGGCTGCAGGAGGTGAAGGCCGGACGGATGGATGGACGGATGGACGGGGCCTGGGGTGGAAAGGGGATGAGGGTGGTCCAAGCTGGGAAGTGGCGGGTGGTACCAACTACACTGGGCCTGGGGGTGTTGGGGAGCCCTGGGGAGGGTTCTGAGCATGAGGGGGCCTGGTCTGGGGCCTGAGGGAGGATGAGCAGGAGGAGAGGGGCTGGAGGCAGGAGGTGGGCGAGAGGATGAGCCCTGAGTCCGGGCTCTGGGGACACGGAGGGAGGAACCAGGCAGAGAGCAAAGGGGCAGGATGGGCGTGGCTGTGGGTGGTGAGGTGTCAGAGGAGAGAGGTGGGGGTCTGGCCCAGAGACTGGGGGAACCTGAAAGGGGGGCAGGTTTGAAAGGAGACACTTGAGCTCAGGGAGGAGGTGATGAGGGTGCGGGGCCTGGGGACGGACAGCAAGAGGTGGGTAGTGATCAGGGGCCCCAGAGAATTCTGTGTGTGGATTGAAGCTCACACCAAAGTCCCCCATGTTCGTGTGCAATGAAAAAAAGGCCACAGGACTTGAGGTGTGAGAGGCAGCGAGGCTGGTGCCCAGGTTCCCGCCGTCCGCAACCCTGCTGACCACCCTCCCTGGTTATCGCAGGAACTGGCCGCTTCCGACCGCGCCCGGCGGCAGGCCCAGCAGGAACGGGACGAGATGGCAGACGATTTTTTGGGCAAAGGCAGCCTTAGCAAGTGAGTGGCCCGCGGTCACGTGGGGCGAGGGCACCCCCTCCGGCCGTCCTGCCCTCTCACCCACCTGGTCGTGTTCTCCTAGGGCAGCCATTCTGGACGAGAAGCGGCAGCTGGAGGGGCGCCTGGGGCAGATGGAAGAGGAGCTGGAGGAGGAGCAGAGCAACGCGGAGCTGCTCGGTGACCGCTACCGCAAGCTGCTGCTGCAGGTGAGCCGCCCAGCCCCGCGGCCGGCCCCACCGACCCGACCAGAACCTCAAGCCTCTTATTCAACAGACATAACAAAAGGAGCGCCTGGGTTGGGTTTTGAAGGTTGAATAGGAGTTCTCAGGAAGGGAGGTAGTGATGCCTTCATTCACATGCATTTCTGAGGCTTCTCGAGGGCTGAGCCCAGAGATGAACTACACTGTCACATTACAGGTGGCATGTGCGGCAATCAAAATATCCTGGGCCCAGGGGGGAGGTAGCGGGAATTGGTCTCTGCAAGAGTCACAAGAAAGAGAGAGAGAGAGAGAGAGAGAGAGAGAGAGAGAGAGAGAGAACATGGATTTGTTGCTCTATTTATTTATGCATTCATTGGTTGCCCTGACTGGGTATCAACAGTGTCCATAAGAGGAAGGAAGGGAGGGAGGGAGGGGAGAAAGAAAAAAAGGGAGAGAAAGAAACCAGTAATCCTGAATTTGACTTGGATGTGTTCACACTTGTGTGTATGAGTTATTTTATATATATCCATCCTCTGTCCATCCAAAAGGCCTAGAAACAACCATCTAGTAGCATTGAGCACCCCTACGCTCTAAATTGTGGTCTAGCCCTGGCTGGTTTGGCTCATGGATAGAGTGTCGGCCATTCGGACTGAAGGGTCCCGGGTTCTATTCCTGTCAGGGCACATGCCCGGGTGGCAGGCTCGATCCCCGGTGTGGAGCAGTGTAGGGCATGCAGGAGGCAGCTGATCAATGATTCTCTCTCATCATTGATGTTTCTACCTCTCGCCCTCTCCTTTCCTCTCTCTCTAAAATCAATTAAAACTTTTTTTTAAAGTAGTCACTTCCGTTTTTTTAAAAAAAGCACATTCATGGAGGCCACTCAGACCTGCTGTATCACAGTCTCTGGAGGGTGAGACCATGCAGTCCGCATTTTTTTTTATAAGTTTCCCAGATGATCCTGTTGCAAAAAAAAAAAAAAAAAAGGTGTGATAACCCTTGGAATAGACTCATTCACAGTCAGGGGTAGAATTTATAGCATTTAAGCAAGTTTGTGATAGTCTTGTGGGCTTTTTAAAATAGCAAAAACCTGTTCTGGTTTTGGTTAGAGCATCATCCCGACACACCAAGGTTGTGGGTTCGATCCCCGGTCAGGGCACCTACAAGAAGCAACCAATGACTGCATAACTGAGTGGAACAACAAACTGATGTTTCTCTCTCTCCCTCCCCCTCTCTCTCTAAAATCAATCAATAACTTCCTTTCTCTAAAATAGCACAAATCTATCCAAAAGGTAATGCTGTCAGCTGATAGGTGGATCTGGAAAAACACATGTTCATGTGTGTTGAGTGTTTAGTGTGTATCAGCTTTGTGCTCTGCACTTGGCAATCATCCGCCTACTCAGTTGTGGGAGGTGCCTGGACTCACCCACCGCCTCTCCTCTGAGACACCCTGCCTCTCCCGCCGCCCCAGGTGGAATCGCTGACCACAGAGCTGTCCGCTGAGCGCAGCTTCTCAGCCAAGGCGGAGAGCGGGCGGCAGCAGCTGGAGCGGCAGATCCAGGAGCTCCGGGAACGCCTGGGCGAGGAGGACGCGGGCGCCCGGGCCCGCCAGAAGATGACCATCGCTGCCCTCGAGTCGAAGCTGGCCCAGGCCGAGGAGCAGTTGGAGCAGGAAAGCAGGTAGGTGGGAGAGGGGGCGTGGCTGGGGGGGCGGGAAGCAACCTTCACATTCTGGTCAATGAGATGAAGGGGAGCTGTTTTACAAACATCTGGTTTGAAACATCTCAAAGGCATCATAATGCTAATGGTTGCTGATTTCCTGTATCATTTAAGAGGCTTTGAGCTGCAAGAACCTGTACTTCCACTACAAGTATGATTTAAACAGTAATGTAGCAGGTAGCTAAAGCTGCATAACAAATATCCTAAAAACTTAGTGGCTTAAAACAACAACCATTTCCCCTGAAACCAAATAATTTTATTAACCAACTAGAGGCCCGGTACACGAAATTCGTGCATGGGGGGGGTCCTCATCCCAGCCTGCACCCTCTCCAATCTGGGGCCCCTTGGGGGATGACCCCTGCA